GAAGAAAATACCGGTTGCCCATACTGGGCAACACGATCATCCTAGATCAACTGGAGAATCGATCTTAGAGGACCTAGCTATGGCAGCGCAGCCATAGATAACAGACGTCGAGGTGATAAGTCTTCACGTACTTAACAAGAAATTCCTGAAGAAGTTATCCGTGAGGTAACATTCCCCATCAACCTGAGGGAATAAGTCCTCATCAGCCTGTGGAAAAGGGTTTTCAGGAAGAAACCGAGACATTAAATGTCTCGGTTAATGAATGGTCAAGTGTAGGTGCTTGTACACTTGGTCTGATTGCGCCTCCGAAGTTGACATCGGATATCACACAATTGCCACGCTAAACCGGAATAATTCTTGCGATATCTGCGTAGTGGCAAAGTCAAGCAGATCTGTGCACTTGTCACAGAGGACGAGTACGTGACCAACATTCGGTCTACACAAGTAATTATTGAGAACGAACGGGTTCTTAGTAGCTCATCAATGGATGAGAGCGTCCATCGATGGGAAGACTCGGATTGAGCGATACACGTCTCAGTCTTGGTATTTCCTTAGGTTAATCCTTCGTATAGGGATTTGATCGACTTTAAGGATGTTTTCCCTGAATCCGTGCCATGCGAGTTTTCTAAGGATAAAATTACTCGACATGAAAAAGAGCTCAAACTGGGGTCGAAGCACTGTTTCATAAAGTAGTGACCACTGATTCAAGAACAAGTACTAGCAATCGACAATTTCTTTGCCGATCGCTTTGCAGCGGGCCATGTGTTAAAATTATCTTAACCTCGTAGCTCTTTAACCTTATGTTTGCGAAAGGCTACAGGAGGATGGCGGATAGGGCACGCACTTTACAAGTTGAATACTGCAATGGTACCTGCTCGGACGACGATACCATGAAAGGACGTACTTACTGAAAGTACTTCAAAATGTACCTTCTTCTAGTCCATGGATCGGATGGATGACTTCTATCCGATCCTTATACGTGAACGGGACTTTCCGTACACAGCAGTGAGCACCCTCATCGGTATGCTGTGAAAGTGGCAAATATTGCCACAGGGGCTGAGTAAAGCCTCTGCAGCGTTTAAAGGATGTGTTAAGGATTTGTTGAAACCGAAGACCGAGTTACTTTGGCGGTGTGTTCGTCCATTGACGGGCTATGGGTGCAAAGACGGACGTAAAGGTTCAAGGAGCACACGTTTGTCAGGTTCTTACACTTATGCGAAAGTATAAGCTATATGTTAACCTCTAGAAGTGTACACTCGCGGCTGAAAAAATATCGTTTCTTGGGTGCGTGGTTAAACACGGCGTAAGCCCTGATCCCGAAAAGATTGAAGCAATCACCTACTGGCGTACACCAGTCGATATCAAGGGACTTAAAAACTAGTTCTAGTGGCGTACTGATTTTAAGTACTCGCGCAAATAGGTCAAGATGACCGTTCGCCTCTCTCCTTTTTTTTTAAAAGACGAGAGAGGTGAACGGTCATCTTGGCGTGAGGAGTGATCATGTGACGCTGATAGTCAGTGTTAATTTGATTGTATCAAGCAGAGCTTGATGCAATCTCCCATCTTGTCGGTTTCAGATCAGGACAGACCATTCTACGTGGTCTGTGAGCAAGTGATTTTGCAATCGGCTGCGCCTTTATTAGGGGCGATTCTGATGGCTCAGACCTCGTCGTCTGCTATCAGTCGTGTTAAATGCAACCAGCTTACCGTAACTATTCAGTGCATGACAAGAAGCCCCTTATCATAAAATAATCGACAGTGAAGTTTTGCTTCTATCTCCCTGGTTTTTAGCCTTTTGTAGTCTTATACGGGACAAACGTCATAATGCACGGTCATAAACAGCCCACTACTCCCGAAAAGCATGGCAAGGCGGCTGTCTTACTTCGCGGAGTACAACTTCTTTGTGGAGTACAAACAAGGACGTCTAAATGTCGCCGCAGACGCGTTGTCGCGCCGAACCAATATTGAGTCGGCTGCGTAGTCTAACAGTGTTTGACAACACTGATGCATCACTAGTCACTAGTGTCACGTCGTCAACATTTCTTGACGGCATCAAAAAGGCCTACGCAAAAGATAAGGATCTTCTGCTACTAATGGATCATCAGTTGCATTCATCTCGTAAACATCTTAAAGGATACCGGCCTTCTATCGATCCTCTGCCTATCGAAACACAACACGATGCGAATTGCTGTACTGCACAGCCGTTGCGTACAACACAATTCGTGTCGTCGTCCAGACTAATAATGGTTTGCGCTTGCGTATCTTGCATGATTGTCACGATTCACCATCTAGTGGGCATCGTAGGCGTGAGAAGAATTATCTCGTGAGGTTGCAATTATTACTGGTCCCGCCAGTATCAGCTCGTGTGCAAGTGCATTAGTGGTTGCGAGGTGTGACAATGGGTGAAGCCCATTCCTTCATCACATATGCCACTACAGTCTCCACTACTCCCGGCAGAGTGCTGGTGGTCCATTTAAATGAACTTTGTCTTCGGTATACCCTAAGACGCTCACAAGAATGATGGTATTTTTGTGTTTGTAGATTGTTTAGCAAGATGGTACATCTCGTTGCCGTTCGGGATTCAACAACAGCACAGGGCTGTACCCTTATCTTTATTAACAAGGTTTTTCTGCTTCACAGTCTTCCCCGTGGACTATTCTTTTACAAAGACCCTCGCTTAACGGCGGCCGTCTTGAAATCCGTATTCTGATCACTCGGACCACGTTTGAATATTTCTATTTCTGACCTTCCCGATACAGATGGCCAGACAGAACACGTCGAACGCGTCTCTGAAAATGTGCTTCGAGAATACGTCCAATTTTTTAAGATTGGAGTGAATTTCTGCTGGCGATAAAGTTTTCCATTTACTGCTCCGTGCATGCATCGACAACGCATACACAATTCTTCGTGAATGGCTTACGCCATCCTCGTCTACCCACATATTTAGATTGCGACTTTGGTTTAAGTGGAAAGGTATTGGCTCTAGCAATGACCGTTCTGACTCTCGCTCATTACGTGTCGAACTACTCGACAACACGAACGTTGCCGATGTCGATCAAATCGACATCAAAGAAGGCAACATCAACAATAATGACGACACTATTGCTTACCTAGAAGAGGTCGCAGATGATGATATATTTCTCATCGCCGACGACTACACCAGCGACGATGATGACACCCTCGCTGAAGACGAGAGACAGGTCGTAGCAGTGCGCACCAAGCGTAATATACAAACAACACAGATCCATCAGCGAATCTTCTGCTGACTCGAGAAACAGTAGTCCTTTTTGTGCAAGAATCCATCTCTAACGCGGAAAATCGGCAGAAACAAAACACTGAGAAACATGGAAAAGTAAACCTTCTTCTATTTAATCTAGGAGACTTAGTTCTACTGTCTCCGGATATCTACCTAAGCAAGAAGTAGCTGATGTGGGTATTAGTAAACTACTACCCAAGTACATCGGCCCTTTTCATGTTCTACATCGCAAAGGTAATGCGTACACGATCGAGTTTCCTCGCAGGATGCGCGCACATCCTGTAATTAATGCCGTCCAGCTTCGCCTGTACTATTAGCACGAGGTCTTTTTCTCGGGCAAATGCGCCCGCCACGCGTGAGAACCTCCAAGAGATTCCTTATGGTCCCGAGCTAATTTCTCAAATAGTCTCTGTAGTGCCGCAGATTAATGAAGAATGTCAGACATTTCGTCGCGAATGGCCTGACGCTTCCTCTTGTTCTCTAATTGATAAAGCGCAAAACTTCGCTCCGTCATCAGACCAGGTGAATTGGAGGCGTTGCACCCACCATTCCAAATAGAGACGCTCCTGTCTCTCGTGATTGGTGCTATTGCAGAAATTTTGTAAACGTTGCTGAACATAATCTAGCTCCGTCTGCAACTCCTACAAGTATAGAGAAATTGACCTTTTCGCCCCCACCGCAGCCGTCGTTCGACTCGCACGGTGGTCAAGGCTTTCACGTTGAGTGTATCTGGAGCCACCGTGACGTGAAGGGGCAGCAAACGAGTTGCCTAATTCGCTGGCGCGGCTCTCCGCCGTCGCGTGACATCAGGGATCCTCACGCCTAGCTATAGATTGAAGTTGATGGTCTTGTCTAACCGTAAGACGAGACACATCCGATGGCTCAGAAGGGCCATCTAAAGGCACGCGCCCATGGCGCTGTTGGAGCGATTTCAAGCTAGCAAATACATCGCGCATCTCAAAAGAGATGTGCGCCCTGCCCCAGGACAAAGAGGGGTAGTACTATTCCATTTAAATGTGTTGAGTGATGTCGAGACAGCACTGACATAGATCGTTGCATGTGATGTTTGTTATTCCTGCCTCACTAGACAGATAGTGCATCCTGGCTTTTGCTCCAGTCAAAATCCATTTCTCAAATCCAACACGAGCTGTGTTAAGTATCTGGAGCCAAAATATGCGACCAATGTCCTGCACATAGTTCCATGCCTAAAGCTATGAGATAACTGATTGCTTGGTATTACCACTATACCAACGATGCTTCAGAATAGCATCCAGGTAGAATCTTAATCAGCGGTAAAGTTACTAGCGCTGATGTCAAGGCCGTGCAACAGCCTAACATTGAATAACGGAATTCGAAGAGGTTGGCTTGTCTCGCCTGACATGTTCTTCACAAGCATTTGTGGTAATACCCAAGTCTCGTGTTCAGGGGGTAGACGCAGCACATTGCCATGTAAAGCCTCCTTCGTGGTACCAACGGAAGTCCTTTAACCATTTGAATCGTCATCTCGACAATATAAATCATCATCGCATTCGCTGGACGGCGAATACTCAATAGCAGACCCAGGATATAAGTCAGCCTTTTCAATCTCCAAACTAAATAGACTCCAGTAGTGAGTTTGAATTTAACTACCCGCTCGATTCCTATTTGTAGGCTTGTATTTTTTTTAATTTAGTCGCCTGGTGAGACTTGGGAGACGTAGGCGTCTTCTCCGAGTCGGACCCACCATCCGACCCCCCCCCACCGATTAGATGTGCTCCACTTGGAAGCCATTATCATTAGCACGTGGTGACACACCACTTGATTCTGCGGCAATTGGTGCTTCAGGAAGATTTGCAGCAGCAGACAAAGCATCGTCTGCAGCGACAGGATAGGAAACGTCAATAGCAGCTGCGTTAACACTCGCAGCTGCCTTCTCAGCAGCTGTCTTCTCAGCGGCTTTCGCCGCGCATCGCATGGAGTTGTTCAGCATGCGAAGAAGATCCAAAAATGAGTAGAGCAGACCAAGACAAGTGCTCCCTATCCCCGATGTGGTCTAACGTTGACCACATCACATTGATAGTGAATCAGTGACTATCGTTAAAGAGAGGGGTGATGTAACTGGGTGAGCCTGTTACATGTAATTTACCCTTGTTACTAGTTCATCAGAAAATTATCAAAAAGGATGAAAATGTTCGTCAACACTACTATAAGGGGTAATATTCATAAACAATCACATTTCGGCTGATATGGGCCATCACATGAACCAGATCTAGCGGTCCAATCAATCACGGACGCGCGCAATGAGTAGTGAGCAAGACGCTAGAATACGCTTTTGCAGATAGATTAGTAACTAAGCTGGGAATAAAACATGGGTTATGAGTAGGACTTACTTATATCCAATAAAGTTTTACTTTACCAGCAACTAGTCAGTAAGTAGTTGCTTTATCTTCCTTTGCGTAATTTACAGAAGAAGCGAGGCACCAATCACGCTGCTGTCGCAAATCTTATCTCCACAATGGCTGTCCAGTGTGTAACTTCGGTGCCTTGTAGCTGGTGTAATCGTAAGTAAGGTTTAAGCACCCATTTAAAAAAAGGAAAGCTCTTAGGTTCCACAACAGGCTTTCGTCATTTGTTTGGACGTCGTGCGGTCACATTGTAGTGGAGCACACATCGTTTAAGTAAAGGAAGACTTAGTGATCAAAGAGCGATATTGGTTCTAAAAAACTGGACTTTTATAAGTCAACGAGAGTAAAGCTCAAGGTCTCTGTGTCAGAGAATCGAGTGATTCAGTGAATCTACAGCACTTAGTGCTCAAGAGTTGCGACTTCAGGGATGTGTTGCTAACTCTCATCAATCAACGATCAGATACTCCTCGCAAGGCACGTGTCTTAGACAAGATCCAAAGGCGAACTGAACTTTATTTCCTTTAACTCCATTGAATATCTTAGTCCCAATATTACCTAATGTAGGCACTCATATCCTAAAATGATACCGTTGAGATCTTTCCTATCTTGTGGCCGACACCCTTCAACCCCTATAAACCAACAATATATTTTGAATCTCTTTCAGTGGGATACCGTGCCGTTTGTCTAAAACACAGGGTACCGAGTACTTTGCGATGTGGAACCCCTTTGCACACATGATCGTCTTTATCAAGAGTGACTGATGGAATAATCTCGCCATACATAACTTGCACGTACCAGTTATGTAACGGGGTGAATCGTTACATAACAATTTATAAGAAATTGTTAATAGAATATAACTATAAGTTATATTCTCAGAATATTGTCATAAGGACAATTATTCTGTAGCACTTACGAGTAGTTCCTAATTGGTTGATATAGGCCATTATATCAACCAACGAAGACGCGCCACGACAGACGCACGCAATGAGTGGTGAGCAGATAACTGATTTACACATTTGTATTCAGACATAGTTAGATGAAGATAAATAGTGATTTATTGCAGACATTAACTATTATAAATACAGTTCTACTTTTTTCTTTAACCAAGTACTCGCTTCTTCCTACCGTCTTCCTCTGCACGTACCAGTGTACGTGAAGTTCCGAGGCACCGTCTTATTCTGTCATCAGAATAAGTAGCTGGTACTGTCATCAGTACAAGCTTCAGGGTGCCCCGTTACACCTGGTAGCACTTCGTAGTCCGTCCAAGGACCACGTTCACATCTAACATGAATATGTTGGATGATGAAGATGACCAAAGCTTTCACGCTACACGTGACGGCTACTCCCATTTGAGCGATGTCGAATGGAATGCGGTTGAACGGATGGGCTCAACCATGGGCATCCATGCTGTTAGCGTCATGCTAGAGGCTCTCAATAGAGATGCCCAACATGCTACTATCGCCAAGTTCATTCAAAATGAACTTGACGCTGAACGCGAGAAAGTAGCCTTGCTTTACCAACAAGGTTCTCAACAAGCAGAGTTGTTAAGGGAACAGGGTGCTTAACAGTTTGAACTGTTGAGACAGCAGCAGGCTGCTGCTGGTGGGTCGATGCACTCGCGTCGACCCGAGACCTTGAAGATTGACATCTCCAAGTATAGGGGAATCGAAGAGGACTCCCTCTTGAGATGGTTCGTCGAATTGGATGACGCCATAAGGGCGCGTCGCATCGATGACGGGGATATGCAAGTTGCATTTCCCAGTCAAATCTGGCAGGACGTGCCAAGACTCGGGCACTGGGGCTCAAGTTGCACCACCCGTATGCGTTTGGGGTCGTTAGAAGTCTTCAAGTCGCGGCTCAGACAAACATTTGAACCGCCTAGAGCTGAGTTCAGAGCTCGAACCGAACTCTTGAAGCTCAGACAAGGTAAGCGTGATGTGCACGCTTACGTGCAACAAATACGACATCTCACGAGTTGTATAAGTTCCAATCCGGTGGATGAACACACGTTGGTTTCGGTGTTCATGCAGGGTCTTGCGGATGGTCCCGTCAAGACTCACCTGTTCCGACTTGAACTAGATTCACTAGAACAAGCCATTTCCATTGCGGAACAGGAAGACTTCAGTATGAGACAGGCTCGCGCCAGCTCGACATCATATCGTCAACCGAGACGATATGACAACGGAGGTCCAGAGCCGATGTAACTCTGTTTTGTAGAGAGCGAGAAGGCTCGCTCTACAGACTCAAGAAGTTGCAGAAATGCAACAGATGTCAGAAGACAGGACACTACGCTTGCGAGTGTAGTGCCCATCGTCCAGTGTCTCGCAACACTGGGCGTAGTGACTGTACACCCATGAGAAAGGGGCAGGGACAAGGGTCCGCAGTTGATGCAAAGACGCAACAACGGGATGGACCGTCAAAAAACGGACAGGATCAGTAGGTGCGGAGCACCCTACTGGTCCAGCAACGTCAAGAGAATTTGTAGGTCTCTTGATGAAGGTTGCTCCCAACACACAGACATTGTGCGTTGCTGCTCTAGGTAATGAGGTCTCACTAATTACCTTGAAACTCGAAGTGACGAATAAGTTGTCCCTTCGAGCTCTAGTCGATTGTGGGTCGTCCAACAATTTTGTGCAACGCCAACCGCTAGAAGATAGTCACTTTAAGCTCAGTGAATGTGACACACCTCCTACGAGGATGACGGTACGTCTTGCGACAGGCGCATCCGTAACCGTCATGAAGCGTATAGTGAAGATCCACTATACGCTAGAAGATACCCAATATGACGATGACTTTATCGTATTGGATTTGGATGACAAATTTGATGTCATCCTTGGAATACCGTGGCTCAGAAGGTACGAACCACGGGTAAACTGGCAACATCGAACAGTAACGATGCCTGCCGCTTGTTCATCAGATGGCCATCTGATGAACGTTTTGGAGCGTCCACAAGCGTGTGGATGTACTACGAGTGAGTGCGATGGCCTCACTTGTGGTACGGTCGTTAGTACGACTGCACAAAACCTTAGTGTACCAAACGGTTACACTTCGGAGCAAAGTTCCGGCGGCTGTGAGGAAACACAGGCTGCGCCGAAGGTCCACCACTCGAATAAGTCGGGTGGACTGGGACAAAGATGTATCCCTAGCGGGGAACATCTAGAAGAGAAACAATCGATCGCTCAGGTTAAGCGAAACGATAATCCTGGATCGACTGGAGAGTCTTTCGTAGAGGATCTCGCTGTGGTTGCGCAACCACAGCTAGAGGAAGTAAAGAGAATAAGTCCCAAGATTACAATTACGGCGGAAATAAGTTCCCCGAAACCCGCGGGAATAAGTCCCCGGGAAGCCGAAGGAATAAGTCCTTCGAAGCCTGAGGGAATAAGTCCCCAGGAAATGACAGAGACATTGAATGTCATAGTCAATAACGGATCAAGTGTGGGCGCTTATACACTTGATCTGATTGCGCCTCCGAAGTTAACTTTGGAGATCACTCAGTTGCCAACTCTCGAACATAAAAGGTTCTTGCGTGATCTGCGTAGTGGCAAAGTCAAGCAGATCTGCATACTCGTCGCTGACGACGAGTGTGTAACCGACATAAGGTCAGCAACAGTGTTCACTGAGAACGAGAGAGTTCTCAGTAGTTCATCTATGGACGAGAGTGTCCTAGATGAAAAGACACGAATTGAGCGATATGACTCCCAATCATGGGAATCGCTCAAGACAAATCCTCTCTATGAAGATTTGGTTGAATTCAAGGATGTATTCCCTGAAACTGTTCCGTGCGAATTACCGAAGGATAAAGGTATTTGACACGAGGTCGAGGTTAAAACAAGCTCGAAGTACTGTGTCATGAAGCAGTGGCCACTACCTCGTGAGCAAGTACTTGCGATCGACAAGTTCTTTGCCGATCGTTTAGCTGCGGGCCATGTGAGGGAATCAACTTCCCCACATAGCTCTCCGACCTTCTGTGTGCGAAAAGCAACAGGAGGGTGGCGGATTGTGCATGCATTTAACAAGTTGAATGCTGCAACGGTACCGGCTCAGACGCCGATACCAAGGAAGGACGTAATCATTGATGGTACGTCAAACAGTACCACCTTTTCGTCCATGGATTTGATGGATGGCTTCTATCAAATCCTTATGCGAGAACTGGATATACCCTATACCGCAGTGAGCACGCCTAGCGGCATGCTCTGGGAATGGCTAGTAATGCCACAAGGGCTTAGTAATGCCCCTGCCACGTTCAACAGATGTATATCACATCTGTTGAGACCAGTACGATAATTCGCGCCGAGTTACTTCGACGATGGCTTCGTCCATAGTCGGGCTATGGATGACGTATTCATCCATAGTCGAGCTATGGATGGAAAGTCGGACGTTGAGGTTCACAGGTACCACGTCCGACAGGTTCTTACAATCATGTGAAAGCATCAATTGTATGCAAATATTAAGAAGTGTATATTTGCAGCAAGCGAAATACCACTTCTCGGATGCATCGTTGGTAAGAACGGTGTACGTCCTGATCCCGAAAAGATCAGGGAGATCACCGACTGGCCGGTGCCAGTTGATG